AAGAAGTAATCGCAAAATTCTTTGACTAAATCATGCCACATGTTGATGGGATCGGCACTTTGCTTGGTCTCATCATGCTTATTTCATCACCAAAGCATGGCACTATAGGTTAGGAACATAGAGATGTTTCTTACCTTGGCCATTCTGTCTTGAATGCCAATGGTGTCAAAATATTGTTCCGTGCTCCAAATGAAGTTGTCCACTTCTTTAGCGGATTGGTTGCCCTTGTACTCCTTGGGCTTCGGCACATTCACCTTATGTGCCACTTGAACGGGTACGTCACCGTTCGCAATGCTAGTTTTGCACAAAACTAGTTCGGTCTTGAGCTATTGGACCTCCGACTTCAAAGCTTTGACTTCGGGTTTGTGGGAGTTGTCCTCTTTGAGCTCTAGGACTTCCATGTTCAAATCCTTGATCATGGCTTCAAGGGATTCGTCCTTCATGTGTCAGGATGCTGTGGATTGATTCATGATGGTCATAAATTCGATGCAGAGCTTCTCTTCAACCTTGTCGATTCACCCTTTCATCTCATGAGTCCATATATGAACTCCACCATGATGGTGTTCATTCTAGTGAAAGTTTCCTTGAGAGCGGACATGACGTTGAAGTGGCTCTCCTCTTGTCTCCACTGCGGCTCTCCTTCTCTTGGGAAGCCTCTCCAACAATGGTAATAGCGGCAACCTCTTGGTATTAGGGGTGTGCAACCGGACCGGGTTTACTCGGAAACCGGACCGGCCCACCCGAAAAACAGGTCCGGGAACCGGTTCCATTTTTTGAGAACCGGTCCGGTTTTCAGTTCCAAGTAAAAACCAACCCGAACCGGTTTTAGAATTGGTTTTGAGATAATGTAAAAAAAGTAAAAACCCTATATCACGTTACCCTACTTCACCGGTTTTAGAACCGGTTTCCGGTTTAATATTGGGATTTGTTTCACAACTATGAGCGAAACAGCATGGCCCTTAAAGTCATCTAAATATTGTGTGATTCAGATGAGATATATAGACATTTCTCTAGTGAGAGCAGATGCTTTACTGCTAAGTCTCTTGATTTTCCTTTCAAGATATTTCATTCGGAAACAGAAGTGCGGAGTTCTCTCATCATGGCGCAAAATAAAGAACTAAACATGTTGAACAGATTCCCTGAAAATGTGACTCTTAAAGATTTATGCGATTGGACTATGTCTTGCCACATAGTGCTTTTGGATTGTTGATTTTGATGGATTGTAATTTCAATTGCTCATTTTGGGGATTATTACTTTTGGCTGATAGTGGTTTTTGTTATTCATCTTTTACTTTGAATCATTTCATTTCTACCTATATTATTTTGCTAGAAAAAAATGAAACCGGAAAAAGGAACCAAAAAAAAAAAAAAAAAAACAGGTTCTCTAGTAGACCTTGAAACCGGACCGGAAAAACAGGGTCGGTTCCAAAACAGGGTTCAGGGAAAACAGGGTTGGTTTCAGATTCCAAAAATTGGAAACCAGTTATAACAGGGTTGGTTTTAGGTTCCAGGTCTGGACTCAACCCACCCTGGAACCAATTATCCCTACTTGGTATGACAGTCTCTCAACCACTTGATATGCTCCATGATCTTTTTGAACAAGCTTTCTTCTACTTGTGCTTTGATACCACTTATCACGAGCCGACAGTTGAGATCGACACCCTGTGGCAACTTAGGCTTCCTTTTGGTTCATTGGGTTGCCCAAGTTAAGCCTTTTTCCCAAGAATCGATCGCTCAATCACCAGCCCACTTGGATCATATAGAGAGAAATTGTTTAGAGAGAGAAGTTCTGAGAGAGAATGTGTTTCTATTGCTCAAATGTTGGATAATAGTCGAAACAAATGAGGGTAATTGCACACCTACTTATATATGTGGAGATTTATTCTTCTCAGCTACCTTTTACCCTATTTACTATTGTCCACCCCATTAAATATATCTTAAATACAAATTTACATTTTCAAGAAGTAGTTCAAGGCTTATTCCGTTTCCTAGGATCATTTCTCAGTACCTCAAGTCTTAAGAACCTTGAGACTGTGACACATGGACTTTCTCTTTATATGATAAAGTAAACTCAAAGCAACCTTTCAAACTCGTATCTTGCCAAAATAAAGTTTCAATAATATCCATGCCCCCAGAAGATAAATAAATATGGCCCTATACTGACAATTGACAAAATGGTAATCCAGAGTAATGAATTTAAATGACATCTTTATCATAAATATCTTATGTATCTAAATTTGAGAGTTTCAATAAATGACCGATATCTATTCCAACTGTCAGTCAACAATCCCCAATTGTGGATTCGTAGAAATACCCTATCTTATCCTACGATAATCTAAACTTATTTTCAAAAGTAATTCCAATAACATTTCCTTTTCTTTTCTTGTCTTTTCTTTTTTCCAGTTAATAGAGTGCAAAAATGAAATGGGAATGACAAGTGAACTGAGAAATCGGAATTTTCCTCTCCACTGGAGATGGCAATATGAGCTAGAAATCCATCTTTCAACTTAATTTTAGTGGGCCAAATTGATAATGGTCCATTTAAATTTTACAAATAGGTCGAAATGAGTTTAAAATATTATGCCCCGGTCTATGTGGATCTTTGTGGTTTCCACTGGATCCATATTCAGCCCATTTTAATTACTAGATCAAACCCAAAATATAAATAAAATAAAATAAAACAAAAAGAATATAAACGTCGATGAATTGTGTTATTTTTCCTTATGCAAATATTCCTTTGGTAAAGACCATGTTTGGTTTTTGTGTTTATGGGCAAATTTTTTCCACCCCTATTTGGTTAAAAGAGTTCTCAACACAGTGTTATAACAATATTGCCTTTTGTGGGTTCCACTTCTTATCTAAGAAAGTGTTCCTTTTATTTTTTGTGGTGTCCCTTTTTTTTATTTATTGATTTTCTATATCTTTTCTTGTGGATCCTACATCCACTTACCTTAACCTTCTCTCTTCTCTCCGTTCTCTTTCAAATGCGGAAAAATGGAGAATCAGAAAGGTCATGTCCTTGTATTCACATATCCTAGTCAAGGCCACATCAACTCGCCACCAAGACGTTGACGAAGCCCTCCGCCTCCTTGTAACCCACCGTCTCTGGGGCTACCAATTTGACTCGTTAACTTCAGTAGCTAATTCACGCTCTTTGCAACGCGAAACGGTTCGAGGAGGCGCATCATCGGTTCGTCTCTTTCGTTTCTTCCTTTTATGTTGTCTTGGACAAAGATGTCATGTTATGGGTCATTAGGAGTTTGGCTGATGTCAAGCCCTACATGTGTTCCTTGACTAATTTTAACCGCTTGATTGATTAGTGGTGTTATATTTTGAGACTAGGTATGGGTATAGGGTGTTTTGGATATGAGGAGCTGGGGGCATTGCCCAAGCTATGTTTCTTACACTATTTTGATCAATGGGTAATATAAGGTTGGCGAGTTGAGGACTGTACATAAGCTGCTCGATGAAATGGTTGAAGATGGTACAAGGCTCAATTCTTTGAAATATAGCACATGGTCGGTCAATTTTTTCGACAGATAAATGGGGAGAAGGTGAGGAAATTGACTCTCGGGCTCTTGGAGGTAATGAAATGCTAAAATGACTTGTTTGTGAGTAATGCTGTTTTTGCGAATCTTATTGATTCTTTGTTCAGAGAAAGTTTTTTGATGAAGTGTTTCATATTGTGGATAGTATGCCTTAAGGCCGCCGCCCTCAGCCTCCCCATTAGCCTTTCCAGCTCCTCCTCATTGGCGCGAATGACTCCACCTTCATCGGGCTCATAAGATGCAAAGTGTAAATCCTCTTGATGCCCCACCAGTAAGCGCTACTTTCCGTGAACACGATCCTTTTGTTGCCGTAAGGCATGTGGTGCAGAGTCTTTCACTCAGGCGACTTAAGAAGGTGCTGCCTTGAGGACTAGCTCAACTGCTTCCGCCTACACATGCGTCGAAGCCTCCATTTCTCTACCTCTCTAATGCTTTGGGTGGTTACATGAGAGAGAAAGGAGAGAAGGAAGAAGAAAGTGAACGTCGGACCCATAAGAAAAGAAATAGAAAATCAATGAAAAAAGGGGACATGATTAGGAAAAATGAAACAATTAATTGAAACATTGGCCGAAGAGGGATATTAAAAAGTGGGACCCATAGAAGGCAATATAGTCAGATTACTGTGTCGATGAGTGTTTTAGGTAAAGAGGAAGTGGAAAAGGTCTAATTGTCAACACTATAAATAACCATCAAGTAAAGCCTGATTTGTAGCTTAATTAAGCTTAATTTTCTAGCTTTAAGAGAAATAACAAGATAAGATTCCAATAGCTTAAAGGATTAAGCGTTTTTTTTCATTATTTCCTAATTTTTTCCATGTTTAGTTTCTTTAATTAATTTGTTGATTTTAGTATACTATTTCCTAAAAAAAAATCGCTAATAATTGAATTCCATATTGCGTTTGGTATGAATTGAGTCCGAGTCGAAACAAGTATGAATTTTTTTAATTAAACCCACTTCCAATCCATCACAGTCCAATCCGAACTGATCCATCCATTTAATGCATCCCTATCCCGAAGACAAGTCTCAAAGTAGGAGTGATCACCAAAACCGGCCGATTCTGGGACGTTTCCACGAGAACCAGTTTAGATCTTGATTCCTAAAATTAGGAACCGGTGATTATCAGTCTGGTTCCCAATTTCAGGTATAGACCGAATCACCCGGACCGGACCAATACATATTTTTATTAGCAAGTTAATGATACTCGATTATATTATATCACATCTTTATCGTCTTTCCGCCAAGATTTTCATTGATTAAAAATCCAAAATACTAAAAAAATGAGAGCTTAGACTATGCAACAACAACAGTTGCAATCTTGCAGTAAATTGGAGATAAAAAAAAAAAAGAATGATATCACTATCGGTTCCTGGATTCAGCCTATCCCGGTCCAGTTCCAAGACTAAGTGGGCTGGTTCCCAGTCTCACAAAGCCGGCCCTTCTGGTTCGATTCTCAGTTTCAAGGGAACGATTCACTCCGGAACCGATCACTCCTATTCTCGGGAGTCTAGTACCGCCAGCAAGCGCAACTTCAACCGCCGTCTTCTTCAAACGAACTCCATTCTCAGAAACACCGCCGGCCAAATTTTTGACATCCACCGGTTCCCATTTCTCTCTCCGATGACGACCTACCGTCTCAGAACCTTCATGCGCAACACCGCGCCGTTCCCGCTCCGCCGTCTCTCCCCTCCCTCCCCGCCGCCCCCCGCCGCCGGCCCCGCGCCGCGGGAGGGCGATCCCGGCGCCTCCGGGAGCGCCGTGTACCGGCACGCCCTCCGGTTCCAGAGGCCGACCACCGTCCGGTGGCACGAGCAGGTAGCGAACTCCGCGAGCTTCATCGGATCGGTCCTCTTCCCGCTGCGGCGGGTCTCGGCGGGCGACGGCCGGTTCGGCGTCTCGACGCTGCTCCGCGTCCACACGCCTCGCGATTCGGGGCGCGGGTTTAGGTAAGAAGGTCGCGGTTGTTTGATTCGGTATCGAACCAGATCATTGCGTTGCCGAGGTTTTGCGTAGAATCTTAGGATAGGAGGTCGCGGATTGATTGTCATTGACCTGATGTTTGATCACTCCTCTGTGTCCGGTTATTTCCCTCTTGTTACCTGTGAATTACAAAGTGTTGTCACCGAAGAGCTTGAAGTTTGTGTGCGGTTTGTGAACAGGATATCGCTGAAGATGTGGGACGAGATGGCTGAGATATCGTGGAAGCATTTGAGGCCGGAGGATTTCGTGTATGTTTCAGGTCAATTAGGGAGCTACGAGAAGGCTTCTGAGGGTGGACAGATCAGAACTTATTACGAGGTAACCATTGAAAATATCATGACAATCTGCGACCAATTTGTTGGGTGATGATCGATGCTTTTTGCTTATCATGCTAATAATGTGAAACTGGATCTCAGAACAGGGAGGGACAAAAAAAGAGCATTCTTTCGAGTTCTAACTTCACTGGCGGAATGGTGGTTTGATTCTAATGGTTTAGCTTAAGTTTTTTCTTCCGCAATTTAAGGGGCAGTGGATAGAAACGTGCATGATCCTTGTTGTTTCTTTATCATTTCACATGCTTGTTCTTATTTAGGGTGTCATCAATTGTAAAACCTTGGAGTCTTTTGCTTTTTGCATATGCATATTATGACTAGCAACGGAAAGTTGTTTTGAGAGAGTATGTTTGACTAATAAAACTGTCCTTTCTGTCTGTTATCTTTAGGTAATTGTCAAAGAGTTAAACTATGTCGCTCAAACTTGTAAAGACCAATGTTTACCCACATCTGCAGAATCGAAATCAGGTTAAGTAATGTCTCCCAACTTATTGTTTGATACTTTCTTTTGTGGTGGATCAAAGGTCAAGTTATGGTTTTGGAGGGATTCTTAATTTGGGTAGGACAAAGAGCTGAGTAGAATGTTCAGCAGGGATTTAGCTTTTGTTGGTACAGTGTAAGCAAAATATCCTGATTTTTTTGGGCTTCATTAATGAGTGTATGGACTTGACTTGATTGATTACTGAGGAAACTAGGTACCCAACGTCTTATATATGGAACTTTTGTCTGCACAGAGTATCAGTTCTGTAATTGACAATGGGCACTTTTTTCCTCAATGGGGAATGTTGCTAATTTCTGCTGTTGGAGTTGTTGGCTCACGGATTTCTCTGTTTCTTCGCTTTGTTTGCATAATTGTTAGACGAGGCCAAAGTTTTTTAACCCTCTAAATGGAATTGGGTCTGGGAAATAGGAATTCTTGCTTGATTTAGCTGGAAACTTAGCAACTTTTGAACCATCTGGATTGGATGGGAAATAGAAGTAGTTGCTTGTTTTTGCTGGGACTTTAACATTTATTCTGTTGGCCTACTCAATAAACCACATAATGGAGTGTCTGACCAAACAGTTTTTAATCTCAGAATGAAAAGTGATTTGTTATTGTCAGTTGACTTTGCAATTCTCTATTCATTTGTGCATTGACCCATAGTCTATCATGAATTTAGGAGCTTTATCTGAGAAGCGTAAAGATCGCCTGCAGTTGTGGCAAATCTTTTTTGCCAATCCATATGAATGGTGGGATAACAGAACAAGCAAGGTGAACCCAAGGCAACCTGATTTTAAGCACAGGGATACGGGTGAATCCCTTTGGCTTTGTTCAGATGATCCTCCATGGATTCAAAGACAACTGGAGTTGCTCGATTCACGAATGGGAGGAAAAGGACTACCAGGGAATCATTTTCCCCGCCGTATCTCTTCATGGGTGTATGATGAATAGGGATTCTTTTGTTGGCCAAGCCGAAGTGTTAATGGGGACTCGAGAGGTTTTCCACTATTCAACTGAGCGGATAATGTCCCCTAGAAATTCTCCTGCGGCACTGAAGCAAGGCCTGTCCTTGGAAACAATGTTGTACGAGCGGCAAATTGCCATTCCCTTATGGAAGGAGGTAAATCTGTACAATTTAACATGACTTATTATAAAGTCAGTATTAGCATATCAGTTGCCCTTAAAGAAACTTCCAGTTACTCATTTCCAGTTTTATACATATATGTGGATTTATATAAATTATGAGTGATATATATATATATATATATATATATATATAAAAATTATACTGAAAGTTTTGTTTTTCTGTTTTCCAGGATTATAGCGTATAATTTTTGCAGGACGCAAGTATTTTCTCCTGAAAGTTGAATTATGATTCGGCGTCTCGTTATTTCTTGTGGACATAACTGGATTGGACTGGTCAGATGATATTTTCTGGAAGATGTATCTGGAAGCACTGAAGGTGTCTGTTATGGAGCTCATGATGGTAGTCAGGGAAGTAGCGAAGAAACTCAAAGACGAGTGGTGATAATCTCCGCGTTTCTCTGATTCCTCCAATTTTGATTTTCCAAAGCTTCAATATATAGTTTTCTGTGTTGTAATTCTTTTGTAGTGCCTGTGATGTCTATGACTGTAATTTACTACCTCTACATAGAAAATTAATTTTCGCTAGTCATGCATGAAATTTGGTCACTAAGTGCCTAGAGGACACGAGAATTTCCTCTTTTTCTTGTTGAAGGTTGAGTTTGTGTTGAATGAGAAAGAAGTACGATACTGGAAGACGGAGTGTACGTCGGAAAGATTCGGAAAAGAAGAAGCTAGGAAAGGGACAAGGAAGGATGAGACTAAAAGCCAGCCTCAACCAATTCAGACAGCTGCTTTAGTCTCCACCAGATGCCTGTGTCAACAAATGCATATGTCTAGGAAAATTCAAAATGGCAACGAGGACGATTTGTCATTGTGAGATTCATGAAGTTGGCTAAATGGAGTGGAAGTTGGAGTTCGCTTCAGGTGGCTCCTGGCTGTAACTATTCCAAAATATTCTCCTCTATGCTGAACTTGTGATTCCTATTAACTAGAGATTGCCCTGGGATGAGGTGAATCCAAAACACTGTCATCTGAGGGCTCCGATAAAATCACCAATTGGTATCTCGTATGGAGACGGTTGTATGGCATTGTGCATGAATGACTCGGTATCCCCGAAGCGGGAAACATTTGGTTGGAAGCATATTCCCAAGTCTTGAACGGGAGTACAAGGTAGTGTTAAGGAGGGTATCATCAATCTTTGGCACCTCTTCTGTTCTACTCCATTTCGAATTAGATACGAAACAGGTATGTATAGGGGAAAGTCACAGCAGAACCTATCTACCTATTCTGGTTCTGCAAAACAAAATGGACGGCTGAAAGCGGTTCACAACAACGAAGAGCCAAACATGCAAATGGTGATAGGGGTTAAATCTAGATTCCAAATGAGCATGATGAAGGAACATCTCGAGAAAATTAAGCTTTATGCAACAATTTATGCAAAATTACTTAAGAGGTTAAGTTCATCAACAGAATTTCAAGGGTCACTTTCTTATGACATTTGATGATGGTTTCGTGCTCCAATGTGGTCTTATAATATATTGATGGAAAGCTCCAGGTCTCTAGTTTCAAACGAGTCAAGTTTCATGGAAATTGGAGTCTTCCAGACGAAATTATGCCCCGAGTACTCAGCAAAACCCGAGAAGAGTCTTAGTCTTTCTGTGTACTTACTGAGTCATAACCATTTGACTTTGTTTCTAGAGTCATTGAGTTGGATAATGATAGGCTGGTGTCTCAGTATTTGGCCGTATTTGAAGGGTCGTTCCAAGTTGTGTCCATATGAACCCCTCTTAAGGTTTTCTTGAGGGTAAGTTTGTGCTTTAATGAATTTTTTAATTAACTTCTTGACTTAAAGTTTAACTTAACTCCGTATCTCTTTAGTGGATTCCGCTTGAGTCGTAACCAAATGTGGATTCTTTAAGTGATGATCATCCACCCTATTGCACGCCCTGTATTCTGAGGGGGATTCCTTATATGATGAGCATTCGTTTTTTCGCGTTTGTGTTGCCTTCTAAATATTTTACCGTTCTAGTATTAGCACATTAAGGTATGGGGAGAAATGAAGAGGGGGACCCTACCTGAAGTTGCATGGTCTGTAGTGTCCTCCCCGGCTCCCCCCCTTTGAAGTGGATCGACAGTAAGAACCCGTTCATTTCACGGAAAACAACTTCCAGGAAAACGTTTTTTGAATTTTCCGACGTTTAGTTTACGGAAAATAAGCTAGTCAACGAAAACATTTTCCATCCTCTTTCTTTCACATCTAGACTAAGCATTTTCTTTCACCAAACACCTTTTCCTTTTATTTTTATTTTTTCTTTGCTTTGTTTCTTTTAATTTTTTTCTTTTTCTTTTTTAAAAAATGATTTTTAATTATTTTTCTTCTTTCTTTTATTCCTTTTCCTTCTTCTTCGACCGGGCAGCCAGTGACTGGCCAATGAAGAATGAAAAAGAAAAGGGATATGTTCACTAGAAATTCTAAAACTTGTCACGAAAGTACAAGTCCTAAAACTTGCAAAAAGTGTAATTAAGTCTTAAGGGGGCGGTGACCCCCACCTGCCGTCCCCCCACCCTCACCGGCTCCTCCCGACAATGGTGAGGTGGCGGCGGGAGGCAGGGCAAGTCCTCCCTCCCCGCCTGTCCTCCTTCCTCCCTGTTTTTTTTTTAATAAAAAAATTAGCTTATTTTTAAATTTAATTTAAATAAAATTAGTATTAAAAATTAAATTTGGGCTAAAACGACGTCATTTTAGTCTTATGTTCATACTTTAGCCACATCATCGCCATATCAGCATTTTCCATTAGTAAGTTTGACGATATTAACTTTAGGACTCATTTTAACCAATTTGACAAGATTTAGGACTTGATTGTTCTTTTTGTAAGTTTTAGGATTCAATTGCACTTTTGTGACAAGTTTTAGGACTTCTAGTGAACATATCCCAAAAGAAACAGAAGGAAAAGAAAAAGAAAAAGAAAATAAAAATTCGACTTTTAAAAAAAGGTAAAGAGTACAGTAAAAAATAAAATAAAAATATTATTAAAAGGATTGTACAGAGGAAAATCATCTATACCAAATGGTGAAAAATATTTTCTAGTTCATTTTCAAGTTTCATCCAAATACAATGTCAATTTCCTTAAAAATGACTTCTTAGAAAACATTTTCCAAAAACGTTATAGTTTTTAGCGAAACGAACAGAGCCTAAGTAAGCCAGATACGATTGCTAGTGAGGGATTACGTGCGGTTTATATCTCGTTTAGCGATGCTGATACCCTTGCAGTTCAGCAGAAGCAGGTTGTAGGAACCTGGAATGAGCAAAGTACAGAAGCAGGCTATAGCTTAATCGCGTGGGCGGCTTCAGTAAATGAATCTCAAGTTCTCAACGCCAAATCGACACTTCCATTCTGTGCTTCAGAGAGGTTTCAACCGGTAGTATATTCAGAGAGGTGCACCACTTATGTCCCACTCCTAGATGCAGAAACTTCAGCTGCCCTAAACCTATGTTCTCGGGCCTTTCTGTAGCACTTTGTTTCAGCTTCGTCCCTGTCCAAGATTTGCCTCCTTGTGTCATTAGACCTGCGGATTTTGTTAGTTCAGGATGTTGTTGGATGTTGACTTGTTTTTGAGTTGATGTACTCATGTCGCGGAGGGGGATGAGAAGGAAAAAACTGGTTCTGCAAGTCAAACAGATGGTGCAACAATTTGGCCAATTCCATACTTTAAGAAAGGTTCGGGCTCTAAATGGTCCGGGTCTCTGTTTGGGTCATAAAAAAGTATGTATCATTTGCGTTCAAGTCGATTCGGGTATCGGTGGAAACCAAATCGAACTGACCCATCGACAACCCTAGTTACTTAACCCACCCCGTGGCCAGGTTAAGGTTTACTTCTAGAATTGTCGCACCTGAGAAAATGATCTAAAAAATGTATGCAAGAACCTAATCTCGGTATGCCTAATTAATTTAAAATACAGGAGCGTAACCTTTAATAAATCAATTATTTGTTTTGAAGGAAAAAGAGTTTCCTTTTTCATTCGAAAATAAGTAAGAAAGACGTTTTGGCAAAATCTTAGGTGTCGACAGGTGAAATTACAAAATTGGCCCCCGAGGCTCGGTCTTTGGTTTGTCGACAGGTGAAATTACGTACTCATCTGAAAATACATTTTTTTCTTTGTCTAGAAGATCCCATCGAAAGTGTCTTTTTCGAATTATCACGGGACTAGTCAATCGAAATTTGGGGGAAATGCTTGGTTGTACGGATCGTCTTGCTAAACTTGTGCTAACTTCTTACGCATAGCCGAGGATAGATTCGATAAGTTTTGGTATCTCCCTCTATGATGCTTTGGTTTAGATGGCTCTCTACAATAAAAATTTCTTTGGCGTATTAAATTATAGGAAAAATACCACTAAAAATTGAGAATTATACTTATTGTGACGCTAATATCCAAAAACAAAATTATCACCAAAGCCCAAAATTGTACTGGTGTAACAAAAATACCCTTCGCCCACAAAAGAAAAGCTATGAACTTTGCCCATTGTGGCGCCAAACCCCAAACTATTTTCCTGTGTCACCAATATCTTCGAACTCATACCGGTGACAGAGGTTATTTTTGTTAGAATCCACTGGGATCCAAAGTATAGGGTTTTTGGTGATAGACGAATAATATTTTATTTAATGCTTTTTATTTTTGGGAAAAGTGTCAAAACAGTCCTGAACATATTACATTTGTGCCAATTTAGTCTTAAACCATTTTTTGTGCCAATTCAATCCTAAACCTTTTTGTCTTTGTGCTAATTCAGTCCTTCTGGCTAATTTTGGCCGGATTTTACTGACGTAGATGCCGACCGGCTTACATGGCACCGCCGGTGATGACGTGGACAACTTTTAATAATATTTTAATATTTTTGAATTTTTTTTTCCCTTTCTTCTTCCTCCAGCTGGTCGCCAATCCGGCGACTGGCTAGAGGCCAGGCTCGCCAGCCACTGGTGAGGCTCGCCCTCGCCAACGACGATGCCGATGAGCCTCACATAGCCGTTGGCGAGGCTTGCTCGCGACCTCGCGGCCACTGGCAAAGGCTCGAGCCCTCGCCAGCGGCTGGGTGAGGTCGGGTTTCACCCATGACCGGCGAGGTTTGACCATCGCCAGATCTGGCGAGGGCGAGCCCCGCCAGCCCAGCGCAAGGTCACCCTTGTGACTATTCAACCTCGCGGGATGGTCGCGAGGCGGCCTCTCGTTGGGTTGGCGAGGCTCGCCCTCGCTGGATCTGGCGACGGTCGAGCTTCGCCGGCCATGGGGGAGGCTTGACCTCGCCAGATCCGGCGAGGTCATGCCTCGTCATTGCCAATGGCCGGTGGGGCTCGCCGGTCCTAGCCTCCAGCCGGTCGCCGGTCCGGCGACTAGCTGGAGGAAAAAGAAAAAGAAAAAGAAAAAGAATTTTAAAAAATAAAAAATTCGAAAAAATATTAAAATATTATTAAAGTTGTCCACGTCATTACCGGCGGTGCCGTACGCTGACCGGCGTTCACGTAAGCAAAATCCGTTGAAAATTAGGCAGAATGACTGAATTGACACAAAAACGAAAGGTTTAGGACTGAATTGGTACCAAAAAAAGATTTAT